ATTTTAAATATTTTCTCACAATTATATCGAGATAAAATCCCGATTGTTGATGCCTTCGGCGTATCCTGGTAATAAATAAAAGACGCTTTGCTCACCATTCTGTCTCATTCAGGGAGAAAATCATTCTTTTTGACAAAAAACTTACTTTTGTAAATTTACTATTTATGAATTGTCCTGAAAAAGTGGTCCCTCATCGTCGGGCCTGAATTTGAATATTACAGTCGGTATTGATCCTGTTTTTTGTGTTGTAATCGTGACTAGACCAGGATCTGTGTTAATTATCTCGTTTGCAGCATCATCTCTGCTTTATCGATCACTTTCCTACTATTAGCCAAATCGGCGGCATTTAATTATTTAAATTGGTGACAGGAAGGGATGTCGAGTCTTGGCCCAATTATGGGGTAAACCACGACCTTCGGTTATCTCTTTTTGTCACAAATCGACCATGAAATGCTTGTGGTTTTGACAATTCGACCAGGAACGTTGACCTTTGAAGTAAAATCAAACGATTCTTGTCGATTTTATAATCATTTTTCCTAAAAAGCAATACTCCAAAAGCAAAATTGAAGCGTTTTTGTTTATTTACTTTATCAAAGCTGATTATTTTTTGGTTTGTTTCGCTTTATTTTTTGCAAGATTTTGTCAAAACACGTCTCAAAAACACAAAATTAAATTCAAAGTGATGTTATTTTGTTTGATGTGCTCGATTTATTGGTTTTTGGGTATTATTTAACCAAAAAACTACAAAATGTGGCCAAAAATGCTGTTATTATTACCTTTTTCAAAGTTTAAGTACGTTTTAAAATTATCAAATTAATTAAATTAATTAAATTAATTAAATAAATTAATTAAATTATTAAATTATTATTTTTTTACTAGACTTTGCTTACAATGACACTACATATTTTAAGCACTTAAAAAAAAACTAGTTTTAATTTTTTTTTAATTACTCTAAATGGTAAAAATTTGCTTTTATTTGGTCAAAAATATTATTATTTCAAGTGTTTTAGCATATTTTTCAAGTAGAAACGCAATTACTTCGAAAAATTCGCTTAAAACAGGCCAAAAATTTACCAAATTTGGTCAAAAATAGTGTTAGTCTTGTCGTTTGCGTGAGTTTAAGGACGTGTTTTGGATATGTTTTTTTCTAATTTTGTTAAAACTACGTAAAAAATTATCGAATTCTATCAAAATTAATCGTTTTTTGATTTGTTTCGTTTTATTTTTAGTTGGTTTTTGAACCAGTAACTTTTTTATTTTGCAAGATTTTATTAAAAGACTTAAAAAATACAAAAAAGAATTGAAATAAATATTATTTTGTTGCTTTGTTAATTTATTGGTTTGTTTTTGAACAATATTTAGCTGAAAAACTGTAAAATTTTGTCGAAAATAGTGTTATTTTTACCTGTTTCAAACTCTAACCACATGTTTGAACTAAACTCTTTATGTTTCTGCAAGATTTTGCTTAAAGTAAAAAATGACTGTAAAAATTGGCTAAATTTGGTCAAAAACGATATTATTTTAACCTTTTCAAGTAGTTTAGCATATTTTTCAGGTAGAAACGGAATCACTACTAAAATAATTCGGTTAACAAGCCAAAAATTTACCAAATTAGGCCAAAAATAGTGTTAGTTTTTTTCGTGAGTTTAAGGACGTTTTTGAAACATGTTTGTTTTTTTTTTCGTTAAAACTGCTTAAAATAATACCTACCTATATTAATTCTATTAAAGTTGATAATTTTTTTAGCTTGTTTCGTTTTATTTAGTTGGCTAAAAATTACAAAATTAAATTGTAATAGATATTATGTTGTTGCTTTGCTTTATTTATTCGTTTTTGGACAATATTTAGCTGAAAAACTAAAATTTTGTCGAAAATGGTGTTATTTTTATCTTTTTCAGATTCTAAGCACGTTTTTGAACTAAACTCTCTGTCTTTCTGCAAGATTTTTGCTTAGAATCTAAAATGAAAAAAAAATTTGTCAAAAACGATATTATTTTAGCTTTTTCTAGTGTTTTAGCATATTTTTCAGGTGAAACGTAAAATTCGGTTAAAACAAGCCAAAAATTTACTAAATTAGGCCAAAAATAGGGTTAGTTTTGTCCTTTTTGTGAGTTTAAAGACCTTTTTGGGGATATGTTTTTTTTTTAATTTTGTTAAAACTGCTTAAAAAATTACCTATAATTCTATCAAATTTTATCATTTTTTGGCTTGTTTTGCTTTATTAAGTTGGTTTTTGAACCAGTGAATTATTTATTTTGCAAGACCTTATCAAAACACTTAAAAATTAGAAAAATAAATTGAAATAGATACTATGTTGTTGCTTTACTTGATTTATTTGGGTTTTGGACAATATTTAGCTGAAAAATTATAAAATTTTGTTGAAAATGGTGTTATTTTTACCTTTTCCAGATTCTATAAGCACGTTTTTGAACTAAACTCTGTGTGTTTCTGCAAGATTTTGCTTAAAGTCAAAAATGCCTTACAATTACACAATTTTTTGCATTATTAACCATTTTGCACGTTTTTCAGCCAAAAACTAATTAGTTTGCTAATTTTTTCCAAAAACAAGTTGAAAACACAGCTACAAATCAATAATCATTGTTTGGTTTGGTTTATTTATGAAGTTTTTTGAATAAATCGCTAAATTTGGTTAAAAGCAAGTAAAAAATGTATCAAATGAAGCTAAAAATAGTGTTTGCGCTTCAAAAATGTTTAATGGCGCATTTAAGATATTTTTCTTCTAAAAGTGGTTAAAATTGAAAAGAATTACAAAAATAAATCGAAATTGATGTTAATTAACTGTTTTTTGAGCAGTATTAAGTCAAAAATTAGCTGAAAAACCAGAAAATTTGCCAAAAGAACTAATCGATGATGTGCAAATATTTTCACAACTATTTACTGTTACTACTTAGAATTAAACGTATTTATGTCTTTCCATGAATTGTGAAAGAGCTTTCACCACTGGCCATTTCTGCGGTCTCTACAATTTTTTCTATTTGTATAAGAAAAATCGAAACGTGATTGTGTCTATTTTTCGCAAAAAGTCGGGTTTAGGCCCGAACTTCATGTTTTTGTAAATTTCACGTGCAACAGGTTGACAGCCTTGTATGTTTATGTTGTTGATATGTTAATGTAACAGTCAAGTACGTAGGTCAGCCTTGGTGAACTTTACCACTTGGTCATGGTCGTTGACCCATCGAATTCTTAAGAGACAAATTGATACTTCATTAGGACAATTAATTAAATTTTGTATTTTCAATTTAACTTTCTTCTAACTTTGATTAATAATAAAGTATTGTTCCTGCATTGCTTTGGATAAATAATGTTGTTTACACACGTCGACTATTGTAGCAACGCAACTGTACTTTTGAATCGATCAGTTTGTTGAATGAGTAAATGAGTGTTTATAATTATGCAAATAAACATTATCTCTGAAGTACATCGTGTATGTCTGAATAGCAAAGTAACTAGAAAATTTTATTTAAGTTGCAATAATAAGCAAAAATAAACAATTATTTAGATATTTTAAATACAAAAATTACAAACATTGGCTAGGAAAGTTTTTATTTCCAATGTGGTTGGCACAACTATCGCAAAATTATTAAAATTGTAATAATTCTGCATATTTAACTTTCACTGTTACTATAAAGAAGAGATTAAAATGGTCTATGGTTTTGTTTTGAGCCCATTAACCGTTTAATTGCCAAAATATTAAAATTCGTTTTCTTTTACTCCTAAAACTTATAAAAATATGAGTAGTAATAAAGCGATCAGTAAATAATTCAATTTTGTTCAGTATAAAATGATACATGATCAGTATTTAATTAATTTTTGTACAGTAAAAAATTAAAAATGATCAGTATAATATAATAATATGCACAGTAAAAATAATACATTCTAAGTAAAGCACGCAAAGTATTTTATTGTAATTTGTTCAGTAAAAAAATCCAATTTGCACAGTAAAAATAATTATATATATAATTTTTTGACATTTGACATTTTTTATGTCTATTTAATCATACTGATGATCTTGCATATGTTTTTTTATAATTATTCAGTAAAGGTACAAAAATTTTGCCAATAAAAACTACAAATAACATTCAACAGAGTTACAATTTAGGATACAGCTTCCTTGTTTCCTCTTCTAATAGCCTGTAGCAAAAAAACTTGGAAAATTATTTTCCCAACATAAATAAATAGTCAAAGTGTAAAATCTAAACTCTCACAACTTCGAAATTTTTATAGATAAAATTTTTTTAATATTTTTTCCATGTTCCTGGTATCTTACTTTATATGGCATTTTTCTCTGGGACGCGAGTTCTGGCGCACCCTGTATACTGCGCATTTAATTTGTCTCTAAAAATATTCTGTTTATTTTCTATCCTTCGCCTTACCGTTCTTAATAATTAATTATTTTTGTCATTATTTTATAATAATTTAAATTTGTTTACTCACCTTAGTACCTAATAAGAAGGAATATTTTAATATTGAATTTATCAACAATTTTCTGGATAACTATCGTAGGACAGTGATTTTTTTCTATAAGATAGAAAATTTAATTTGCTTTTTAACAATGACAAACACAAAAGGGTTATTGATAATGATAATACTTGAAAGTTATTTGCATTGCACCGCTTTGGGTACCGAAAATCTACCAAAAAAAAAATTCTCAAAAATGCACTTTTAGCGGTCCAAAAGTGCACAAAACGTTGTAATAATCCTTCTTAAACGTTGTTGGAACTCGTATGAGAAAAATCTAAATGAAGAACAAAAGCTTTTTGAAAAGCCTTTTTCAGGCATTGACTGAAAGAAAACGATTAGTTTTTTTAGTTTTTGGAGAATGATTCACTTTCTTCTCATTCCCGAGCGCATTTCTCACCTCACGCACCTGAAATTTCCCTGAAAAGTGCATCGAAGAGAATTGATTGGGACAGCTTCAGCGGTGGCAGCAGCAGCAGCAGCAGCGGGCAAGCGTGTTTCAGGTGGCCCCAACTCAATCCACTTTGCGGCTTCTTGCGTCCGACACAGTTCTGCTTTGGCCGCGAAACGCGCCGCAACTCTACCACGAATCGACTTCTTCATGTGCATATCGCGCTGTTAAGTGTTTAACTGTCACATTTTGTTGCAACCAGACGGAATTTTCAGTGATTGTGAGGGTGGTTTTTTCAGTGCACGATGCTGGAGAGGAAGAAACCTCACTAAAACGTGAGTGAGTTTTTATAAATAGAGCGATTTTGTAAATATTGGCACTTGTTCAAACGTCACATGTGGATTTTGAAGAGAGAATTTTACGTCGAATCTTGGTTTTGCTCCATTTGCCGACTGGCCTTCATATCGATAATTTTATCAAGTTATTTAAAAAAAAAAATATTTTTTTATTAATTGTCAGTTAATTAAATTGACACCTCGTATTAAGTAATTTCTATAATTTTGCAATTAGTCGTAGACACTCTTGTGTTACCGGTTCCAGAAAGGCGTCTGTTATTATCTTTGAAAAGAATCACACAAAAAAGATAATTTCACGATGATGACTACACTTTATCGGTAATAAAAGATTTAAATTGGTTGAAAAACGCAATAAAACATGACGATTTCTGCAATTTTTACACTGACTAAAATTTCCAAAAATTAAAAATTTTGATGTGTTTTCTTTGAGAAGGTTCCAAATCGGAAAATGTAGCAAAAAATTACAGAAAAAATTTTAATCAGAGAATAAATTTTTACAGTTTGACGTCCGAACTTTAAATTGTTTTATTTTTATTGGACTCAAAATTAGTTTTATATTTCTACACGTGTTTTGTCGAAATATGTTGTTTACGATTTTATTTTTGGCCAAAATAAAAATTCAGGTTTAGGGTGATTCTAAATGATTGTGGTTCTTATTGTCATGTTGGCAACAAATTTGAATTTTAATTTGGCAACCTTGACTGTCAAACGTCACACTTTTAACAGCAACTCATGCGATTAGCCGACACCTGAAATATCCACATATCACGAATTAGAAGGATTATGGAATTCAGTGTTGCCAAAACTTTTTTCTCACAATTATATATTTAAATAAGTATTTGTACAAGTTTCAGAAATATTATCGTATCAACAAGAAATTACGCCTTAGGATTTAGGGATATTTGTGAATAAATTTGGTTAGGTTGGTTTGTGGTGTCAAAAATTTAGTTTAGGTCACCTGTCATAGATAACTCAATTGATAATTGACAGCAGGTTGACAGGAAACGTCAACCGTCAAAAACAAGGGCTAACCAACCCTAGGCATTTAAAATTACTTCTGAAAATTCTAGTTACAAACAACCTAGGTGGTAATTTTTGTTGACAAATTTGTAAAAAAAATAAATGTATTTTTTTTAATCCGATTAGTATTGTTAAAGAAAAAAAAATAAAGTAATTATTTTAAAATATTTTTATTCTTATTTTATTTATAATTATGAAATAATGCCAAGTATTCAATTAAAATGCTGACCAAAACGGTCTGTGACTCGGAAGTTAAGTTGGCAACATTGAGTAATGTAGAGATAGAAGTCACGAGACTTGTCAACTTTAATATCTTCATTGTTACCAACTTTCAATTTCAAAGTTAACGGCTACTTTGATTGGAAATTCATTTCAATGATCACATGGTGTGAAAATTAATAGATTACATATCTCCAGATTATTCAATGTTGCCAACTTAATTCATATATCACTGGCCACTTTGATTAGAAATTTCGGTAATAAAAGTTTTATTTGTTTCTTTTGATAAAGAAAATTAAGAGCTGGAAAATTTGCTTCACCATTTTTTTCCATGAACCACAAATTTGTAAACAATGAATTATAAACATTTAAATCATGAGACTTTGTTTATTGAAAGTCTTTAGTAATTAGTCATTTTTTCTTTTAATGGAGTTTCTTTTAGTCATTTTAATTCGCTAAAATATCAATTTGTTGTGGTTTGACACGCCAGCAGCAAGCGTCAAACTTCTCGAACTCCTCCGGAAGTTGCACAATTAGACACTTTGAAAAGAAGCAACTTGTTCGTGATTTTTCCCCAAAGCAGGAATTCGGTCGGAATGGAAATTCTCGAATCGGTGTCGGCGAAAAGGTCGATGGTCAAATAGATTAAGTAATTGCCGTGTAAATGCCAACGTAATCATCAAATTAAATTCTGAAAGGTGCCTTGCAACGACCGGTAAAGTTTTTAATGGAAAGAATTTCACACCTGTCCCTTGAAGGGTCGCTCGACTTACCTGTTCGAGGGGCTGTTTGTGGGACCCGAACTAAATTCTACGCATACCTAAGCACGCCAAGGCGTTTTATCTGTGTACACAGAATTTTACATCCACCAGTGGCATAGGCATTAATATATTTTGTGTCAAGTTTAATTGCTCGAGATATTTATGTCTCGAACATTATCTCATTTTAATAATAATTAATTTCAGACGTTTCTCATGATGCATTGCGTTTGCTTGCACAAACTTGCGTTTTTCTTCATTTTTTACACATGTGTCTTCGGATTAGTTGACCCAAAATCACTATCGACCTATTTATAGGCTATTACAGATAGTCTTCTTGGAACAACTTGCAATTATCGTTAAATTATTTAAACACAAGTTTATCTGTTTTCCCAATTCATTGACACCAGGACCGGACTGAGACCATCTTGTAAAATGTTTCTTTTCGTTGGGAGACTCACGCAAGTGGACTCAGGTCCGGCAGGTGTCGATGGCAAATTACACTTGTACCACACTTGGAACTTGTCGTTTTCGTTCGCTCTCTAACTATAGTAATTAGCGATCAATCTTTCTTTCGTTTAAAATTAGCCATTTTTAAACCGGTAATAACCTGGAAATGGAAAAAGGAACATCACTGTTTGGAGAAATGCAAGTCGCGTTCCCTTGGGAAAATCGGAAATCAATACACAACTATTTACACGCAAATTACGACTCTACCTGCACATTTTTGAGTTATTTCGGATGGTTTCCCCGAATAACAACAAAGGGAAACGCAAACGGACACAACAATAGGGGCGGATTATCGAGAGCAAATTTGATGTTTTTTTGCTAGAGGAGAAGTTTGAGAACCCGTTTCAATATTAATTTACAGGAGAGCTTCGTGTACGCAGTCACGAAAACTGCTTTTCTCGTTCCGGTCTAGTTTACATTTGTGAATCTTCCAATTGATTTACTTAATTGGATTAGAGTCGATAACGAATAATTAGTCTTGTGTTCTTCTACACCGGGTGATTAATTAAAATTGCATAAATTAGTCGAGAAGAGACCATTCATTTTCTTTTCAAGGTCATGGTTTAGAGTTTTTGCTCATGTAATGCTGATTTACTGAACTAATAAAGTCAATTACTATTTTGAAATATGATAGAAAAGATATAATAATTAAATAGTTGACTGATTGGATAATAATAAATTGAATAGAAAATAAAAAAAGAATAACATTAAAAGTAAGAACCTATTGTTGGAGTATGAAATAAAATCGTTTTATCAACCAAGCAAAATTAATGTGTATTAATAAGTAGGTATCTACAATTTTAAAAGAATTATACAACATCCTGTATTACATTTTTACTAGTCCATTCAACTTAGTGAGGCACTATTAATCTTCATTTTTTTATTTTAAAAGACGAAACTCTGATGAGAGAATTTTTGTCGTTTTTGTCATCATTACTACCACTTACCACTTCATAACTTGGACCTTTTTTTATAACACCCTGTATATTTCAACATAAACAAGAAATAATTTTATGACAGCTTAAAAAAACAATTTGTGATTTTTTTATATTTTTTTAACATCATAATATTATCTGTCCATTTTTTTAAATGTAAACCACGTTTCAGCGACATTTGATCACTCTTTATTATGACTACCTAATATGTTTTTGTATATTTTGGTTTTCAATTTAATTTCGTTTATTTTTTTATCGTTTACTTGTGATTTTTGCATTTAGTGGAAAAAGTGGCTAATTTTGAGTGTGTTTTGAGACTTTGTTTTTTGAATTATGCGATTTTTTTGTCAAAATAACTTACTTAAAAATGTTCTGCCAAAATTTGCTTAAAAGCACTTTAATTGTCGTTTTTTTATGTTTTTTTCTAATTATTTCAAAATAAATCTAGATATGGTATGCACACTAGATCATGTTCGATTTTTCGAAATTAAAAAACAAGCTGGGGCGACAACCCAAAATTTCTCGTTTTTTGATTTGTTTTCTTAAATTTTTTCAAAATAAATTTAGATAGCGACAATCTAGGTCTAGTATATTCTAGATCTAGAATGGTCGATTTCAATCTTATTTTTTTTATTTTAAAAAACGAAACTTTGATGAGATACTTTTTGTCGTTTTTGTCGTCACTTACCACTTACCACTTCATAACTTGGACACTCTGTATATCTCAACAAGAAATAATTTTAGGATAGCTTAAATAACAATTTGTGATTTTTTTATATTTTTTCCAACATCATATTATCTGTGCAATTTTTTTTAAATGTAAACCACGTTTCAGTGACATTTATATACTCTTTATAATGACTAGTATGTTTTTGTATATTTTGATTTTTAATTAAAACTTCGTTTATTTTTTATTGTTTACTTGTGATTTTTGCATTTAGTGCAAAAAGTAGTTAATTTTACTTAATTTTTTCTGTATTTAAAATTTTTGTTTCTTAAGTATTTTTTTTTATAAAAAAATACAAACGCAAGATAATTCAAATTGTGTATTTTTTGCATTTTGAAATTTTTTGTTTAAAATTGAGAGGTACAAATTTTACTTGAAAAGTTTCTTATTCTATGAACAATAACGAGTCAGTGATGCCCCTCATAGTTTGTATCGTCAAAATTCCCTAAATTACATGAAAAACTACTTTTTTTACACGTATTTTGTTAAGGTAATATAAGTGCAACATGAAAATAAACAATACAAAAATTGGATCAAAGTAATTAATTAATAATAAATAAGATTGAGGATGCACTTGAATTGAAACTCTTGTTTCACTGATACTTGCGCATTTAATTAATTTATTATTTCAAGTTTTGCTTGTTCAATAGCAGTTGACTTTACGATTAAAACGTTAATTAATAATAAATTCAACACTGACCAGTCAGTGAGGATATAGAAAACCGCAATTAATTACAACAACCAATTAAAAAATGCGTTGTTATTTGTATTTTTATGATAAAATACAATTATCCGAATGAGTAATAAAAG